CCCCCATCAATACATTGATTTCAACTGATTCTGACTTTGGACTATTGGTCAGATAAAGCAAGACATTTCACTATTTTCTGACATTCAATAGGCAAAATAATTAGAATAAAATAATACAATAATAATGAAAATAAAACTTAGTTGCAGCCTCAGTTCACTTAAACAAATGAATTTTAACATACTGATAAAGAATAAATTACACAAAGGGCACAGACACTTAAGTTTAGCCCCTGAAAGGTGGATAAGAGAAATATTTTACTCATAATAATACAGAATTTAAGCCGAAAGCGAAACCTGGATCCCTCATATTCGCCCAATAAACTAATGTGACCTCATCTGTGTGTTGCGCTCTACACTCGGAAGGTCACCGCAGGCTCTGTAGAGAAGAAATTGTGCGCTACCTACTCCGAGGCCACATAAATTCCAGGGACCTCTAAACTCTGTGGCCTACACATGGCTGCATTTCTCTGAAAAAGGAGCGCAGGAGCTGAAAGCCTCTTTCATAAGAGGGCCCCGAGCCAAACAGCAGTCCATTATGGCAGCAACATCAGGGCCCTACCCCTCTCTGAAATACACCAACAAGTGGCAGATTTTAATGAACTTAAAATGCTCTTTATTACAACAGATTCTGACACACTGAATCAAAATAACTGAACGGGCTTACCCCTTCGCCTCCTCCTGCCAGAACGCTGAACCTGTGTCATGAACTCTACCTGGCCTGTCCTTTACAGACCTCCACAATCACCCCCGAGCTCTGTGCTTCTCCTTCTGCTCGCAGATTATCTGCAGTGCAACCATGACGGGGGCTTGTAACAATGAGAGTGAACTTTAACTACACTCGGAGGATTACGGATCCAGTCCAAAGGGGCAAACCTTGCGTGTTAGCAAGACAATTCATTAAGTTATCATTCATCAAAATGGCCTTTGAACTGCTAGGTCCCAGGTACCAGAGGTTAGGAAAACATTTGTTACCTGCACAATAACTCTATCTGCACAAAAGGGGAAAATCCTGCAGGCATGAATAGAAGTTAAAAAACAAACCTGCAGTCGCTACAAGAATTTGAATCCTGCATAATGGAGCTGTGACGCAACCAGGACTCTGACTGGGCTGAGGCCAGAGATCAGTCACACGGCCGACAGGGAACCCAGACTTACTTTTAACTCCACGAACATCTGTTAATAAATGATTTAACTCCTTCTGGGCTTCAGTTCAGAAAGATGTTGTTGTTGTTTAAGAAGTGAAATATTAATCAACAAGCAACTCGGCCCCCAAAGGTTTTAAATAGTTTAAAATGTTGCACAATGAAAGGACATAATAGATAGATAAAGAAATATTTGACTGGCAGGATTCTTGCAGCAATTTCATAAAAAAAAGGTCCCTGATCGGTCGATTACAGACACTTCACATCTATTGTTTTATCTATAAAGGTTTCTCAGATGTCTAATATGTCACTATATTTATATCAATACTGAAATCTAAAATTGCATATACTCCTATTTTAGAACATTTTCTCCATTAATCATATAGTCATATGTGCTTTGTTCAATCACAAGTCCAAAACCAAGGAATATTCAATTTACAATATACATAAAACAAACTGAAGAGGAAAATCTTTACATTTGAGCAGCTGTTTTTTTTGTCCATTATGATTATCAACACTGTGGCCAATTCATTTTCTGCTGCGCAACGTGTCAACGAATGGACTAATTGTTCCAGCTAGGATGGAAAAATAATAAAATAAGCAACTTCTTCAAGCAGCTTCTCAAACACATCTTGCACAACGAGGAGACACAACAGTGCCTTCCTTCCCTCTGGCCCGGGACAACGCTAGGTAGAGCTTCTTGAGATAAAACCCTAACATTTGTGTCACCATAAAGGATAACATCTGAGGAGGTGGGCTTCAAAGGAGACAGATAAAGGGTGGAGAGAGTGAGTGCGCGCGTGTGTGTGTGTG